CTATTTTTGTTTTCCTTCGAGTTTCTTATTTACAGTATTTGGTACCGCAAGGAACAAAAAAAGATGGATCCTTCAATGAATTTTTGACATTATATTTGTTTGTGTGTCTTTTCATTGATGAAAAAGATCTATATGTTGTACTACTCCATAATATGACCATTGGGACCACCATTCATATAAGTTATCACTCAACAAGGAATTTAGATTGTTGTTATATTCAAAGCTCTCTCTGAAATTTACTCACAGATTAAGTAAATGATTTTATGCAGATGTGTATATTCGGTTTTCCTACTTTCTCAGTCATTCCACTTCTTGACCATCCTGGGATGACTGTTTTTAGCAAAGTTCTCTATGGCTCTTTGCATGTGAGAGCTTATGATTGGGTCGAGCCTCCCAGGAAAGCAAGGAACCAAATTACTTTCCAGGTCTGGTTTTTCATGTAGTTTTCAGCTTGTAAATGGCTTGCACAGTTGCACTTCTTGACAAAAGTATCAGCTTCACATTTTCATATTGCTATTCCTGTAGTTTCTTGGGCTTCACTCACACTGTTTAAAGATTTTTTTTTCTTAGTATTTACTTTATGATCAAAGTTTCTACTATCTTTTCTGTTGTTCTTTAGTTACTAAGAATAATACTGTAGGTAATGAAATTATTCATATGATTATATCATTTAGTCCAATAAAAATTGCCATTTTAGTGATTTTAAAAGGCTAGATTCATGAGTGAGATACTACCAGAGAGGTCGTAAGACTGCCCTTATGAATTGGTCCATGTTCTATGCTCATGATTTTCATATTTTGAGGGTTAAAATATGGGAAAACTGATGAAGTTTCCTTCCAATACAGTAAGATTGGCAAAGCTGGCGGTTGACAAGGTTTTAACAGCACCATGTGGGACATCAATTTTGTATCCAAGGAATGGGGGAAATCTACATTATTTTACTGCAGTCACTCCTTGTGCTGTTCTTGACATTCTCACACCCCCTTGCAGAGAAGATGCAGGCAGAAAATGTACCTACTACCGCAATTACCTGTATAGTGCCTTTGGTAAGTAACTTTTGTTTCTAGTTAGAGTTTTCTTTCCTTGGTGAATTTATTCGCATGAAAAGAAAAGAAAAGAGGGGGAAAAAAAATTAACTGATAATCTCTAGAATCTTGAGGTTCTATCGAAAATGCTCTCTAGTAAAACACGAGATTTGGTGTTTTAGTCACGCTTGGTTAATTATGGTGTAAACAGTAGTCCCCCAAGTTGTCAATCAAGA